GTATTCATGGAACGTCCAGGTCGCACTCAAATCCCTGCTACAGCTACTCCTCGTGCCGGCCTCGCGATCGCCCTCAACAAACATGTTGTCATGGAACCGCGTGCAGTTCTTCGCTTCTCTCGTGTACTTCAATTAAAACTTACAAATAAAACTCAATTAGATAAATTTGTGGCTAATTGATGGCTAATCGCGTTTCGTTTTCCTAAGGATTAGGACGTGTGAGTGAAAACGAGTGGTACAGGTTGCCAGTTATCTCGACGAAATCTAGGTAGATTTACACGGAGTTAGCAATGTACACGACCAATTACGTTATCTAATATATTGAATCAACTAGACGGTGGGTAGGGTCAGCAAATGAGGATGACAAGGTCATGCAAAACGTCACACCTGTTATCTCGTCACATCTCGTTATTATATACACATCTCGTCAATAGATGGCACCACTGTCTCGTGCACATACAACACGCGCTTAATATTCCCATCAGTCCCTGGTACAAATTTGTTTGTCATACGGTCATCTCGGTACGGGATTAAGTAGTTAAATGTGCTCCGGTTACGTAGAAAGTTAGACCCCCACGTGAAGGGACTAATTTTGTTAGCGGACACTTACATGTCAAGTCACTCTATAGTGGTGTGAAGTGTGCAGCGAATTTTATGTTGATTTTGTCTTGTCATTCGCGATTACAGGTGCATGTTTTTTCTTGAATATCCAGTGATAACTTCAACATACTCGCATAACACTGCAACGCTAAATGTATTTTAAACACATGGCGTTGACGTGTAAAACTAACAAGCAATTTAATTAAATGTTGTATTTGCGCTAATTGTTAATTAGATATTCAGTTATTCGCTAGATTTAGTAGCAATTAGAACAACTTAAATTTTCGATTTAAATATCCTTTAAAGGTAATAAAATGCCCATTTTACGCCCTACTTTTCTATCACTTAATAGGTTAACAGAGATGGGCACCGGGGTGTTTTGTGCAATGAGGTAAAATTTTGTACATTCTTGAAGTCATCTTTGTCATTTAGGAATTTCAAGCTTGGTATTTTCATCACGACTTACTTTAAAAAAAATTCTAATACCTTATTACCCAAAAGCTTATATCTGTGAACGATAATTCCTTTAAATTTCGACAGTTTTGGGAAACGTTATCCCCTCTATCACATCAGTTAGGTTGAATTCTGGAAGTCTCATATTTAAGTCGGAGCTCAAATGCAACGAGAGGTTGCAATGTACGAGAAACAAAATTGAAGCGGAAATGCAGTCAGTGGCCTTTCTCCAAAGCATCATTCCCCCATTCCTACTCTTACAAATGCAACTGATACAGCTCCACGCAATTCGCCTGCAGTAATGTTGACCAAGGATTATTGAGATTTCCACCATGATAAAAGATTCCCATTATCCGTGATTTGAAAATATGAGCCCCTGTTGTTGTTCTAAGACACCGTTGCCAATCTGCATGCGGAGTTATGGGCTATTGTCAGCAAGGATGTGAAGGCTGTGCGAACATGATGCCCGGGGGTGAACGTCGCGTGTCATTGTGTGATCATAATGTTTGATAATAATCTTATTTTTTAATCGATGTGCCTTGATGGACTTGGAGAATGAAATCTTAAGCCTGTTTAAATCGCCTCATTCTAATCTTAATTCAATTTAATCTGATCTTCAATTTAGACCTTATCCTTTAAGTAGTATTAAATCAAATCGAATTTCGTTAAACTATTCACATTACGGTGACTCAACACGATGTAAAACATGCTATACCATAAAGGATGTCGTATCACTTGAAATTGTTGGCTAATGAAATGGAGTTGTACGTCCTACGTTTATGCATTTTACAGACGACTGACACCACAAGTAAACATTGAGAGAAAATTCGCCAGAACGGCAGCATTGGCGCACTTTTTGTTAATTCTTTCTTTTTACTTTGAGGTGCATAACCTGTAGCACAGGGGCCTAGATTTACTTGTACTGCAACGCCTAGATGCATATAAATATAAACAATTTCTCCATTATTGTAATACATTTTTACAATATTATAAACAATTTCCCCGTTATGATAAAATATTTCCCCATTATTATAAAAAATTTCGCTCTTATTGTAGAACATTTCCACATTATTACAAACAATTTCCTCATTACCATACATACTCAATTTACTTACTACCATAAACAATATCCCCATTATTAGGAACACTTATTCCTTTATTATAAACAATATTCCTACCATCATAAAGAATGTATCCATTACAATACATAATCAATTTACCAAAAACAATAACCCCGTTATTATAAACAATATCCCCGTTAATATAAACAATATCCCATTATTAAAAACAATATCCCCGTTATTATAAACAATATTCCCATTATTATAAACAATATTCCCATTATTATAAACAATGTCCCCATTGTTATAAACAATATCCCGTTATTATAAACAATATCCCCATTATTATAAACAATATCCCGTTATTATAAACAATATCCCCGTTATTATAAACAATATCCCCATTATTATAAACAATATCCCCGTTATTATAAACAATATCCCCGTTATTATAAACAATAGCACCATTATTATAAACAATTTTACCAAAACAATATTTTAATTATTATCATAATAATATTATCCCCTATATTATAAAGAACATCGCTAATGTTATAAAGGATTTATGTTTAAATGTATAAACTTTTAATGTACTTCTACTATATCAAAAGTCGTGTTGGTATTGAAATTTATATATTTCGTTTCGTTTAATCAAGGTGTAAAATTTAATGGGAGCCTTAATATTGGAGTTGTAATGTATTTATTTGGTTAAATGAAGGGTATTGAGTGGGATACTTATCATTTTACTCCCGACAAAAATCGCCCACTTAAATTATGGGAACATTCAAACACCGTTTATTGAATTACACAGATTTTAACAGTTTCTTTAATAGAATATCTCAATTTTTCCAATTCATCCCCTGCATCGTTCACTTAAAACCTGCTCAAGAGTAAAATTGCAAATTGATTTTATTAAGAAGAAGATTATGTATTTTCAATGTTTAATACTTAAATTAACAATTACGAGGAAAAATTATCGCCAGCAGTTTAAACAGCTCGGGGTGCAGTGGTCGCCATATTGGGTTACTGTCAATTAACAAAATCGTTTTTCCATACAAAAACGAAACGAAACTAAATAAATTTGATCCTGCGGTGGCCATTTAGAAAGTTGACAGAATGATGAGGATCGTCTGGTTCTGATTAAATAATAGACCAATAGAATGAGTCGATACAAACAGCTTAGGACATTGATTCAATCGTCTGCACGCGCTGAATACAAAGAATTAGCCTGGCGGCGGATGACGCGATTAAATGGTTCTTTTGAGTTTTGATTGTAGCCAAAATGTTCTCAAAACATTGGAATCAATTCCTTAATGTAGAAAAACTAAGATGTATTGTTCGCGCATTATGTTCTCTGACGATAAGGGCACATAACTCTTTATTGATATCACTCAAGTGGAAGAGTTCATATTCAAGTATTTAGTTCGTAACTAAACGTAATTAAAACTTAATTTGCGGGGAGGCCATATTTTAGAAAAGAATGCATTTAACGATAAGAGGTTTAGTCAATAAAAAGAAAAATTGGTAGATCCTTGAGACAAGCCGAACCATTTTCTATGGGTACAAAAGGAGGTCTTTGGAATAGAGAAAGAATAAGATAAAACAAAAATTAAGACACTTAAGATTTACCGATTTTTTTCCTTAATGGTTTTGTAGGAATCATAATTCTTAAGAAATTGTTTTCCCACGCTCTTTCTGGGAAACACGCGCATTTACACGTACTTTAACGGAATGAGGGCGGATATTGACAAAGCTTGGCTCGTTTATGATTAATATAATATCAATTTTACAAACAATTAATTTATCTTTGGTTCTTTGGAAGCTATTGATGTCATTTTGGAAAGTCGTGAAAGCCAAACCAGTAAAGTGCACTTTGAAGCCAAAACTCCGGATATGTTTTTCGATGACTCTTTTTATAATGTTGAGTGTGCTTGGGTTGTTTTGAATCTTAAATACATAGATGTGGTTTTTTGGTTTACAGGGTACGATATTGGTTTTCAATACAAATTATGTTCATGAAACAAAGAAACTCAAAGAATAAATTTCAGCTAAAATAATATTCTATCAAGACGATTCAAAACACAAACCACAAATTACTTCCGCCTTACAGAGTCTTACTTCAACAAAACGCAAACCCCGAAATTGATTTCTGACATATCTAATATTTTCAAACAAAGAAATTATATCTGATATTTAAAATTTTAACTTCTTCATTTTATAATATTTGCATTACTCTAACATTTTAATAAAATATTGTTTATTGTATTGTTTATTGTTAGTCCATCGTTCGATCTCGTTTTTCTCCTATCAAAAATGGGAGGTCGGAGGGGCGTACATGGAAAAAGCATCTACGGATACAGAGAATGCCTCTTCTAATTTCCAAAACTAATTTCATCAATATTTCTTTTTTTAGATGGTAACCGCTCACCAAACAAACGAGTAACAGAAGAAGAACAGAAAACATCACCATCTTGCAGTCCAGTATCGGAACAGTCGCCATCATGGGCCCAAAATCCTCTTCTACAAGCAAGATGTCGCGATATCAGTTGGTTTTTGGCACGACCAAGAATCAACCTGGAACACAAGTTTCAGGGGAGTTCCTCAACAAAGAGAGCTAACTCCACTGAACAAACTGGAGACAATGTCTGTGTTATTGACAATAGAGTTCCTGATTTCACAGACATCAAACATTGTCATCTTTCTCCCAAAGACTCATTAGACGACACCGGAAACGGAAGTGTTCATGATATGTGCTCAGAATCGGGTCACGACGGCGAAGAGCAAAACACAGACTTTAATGAAATTCCGCATGATGATAAAACCGGAAGTGAGGCTGGTGACTTCCTGGATGGAGACAGAGATATGGAGGAGTATGGGAAAAGAAAACAAAGGAGATATCGGACCACATTTACCAGCTACCAACTGGAAGAGCTTGAAAGGGCATTTCAGAAAACGCATTATCCAGACGTTTTCACAAGGTTAGTGCGTATCTCTGTCTTTCAACAGCCGATAAGAATTCTTTTCGCCATAGATTTATGTTAAAAAATCACCCAAAGCAATTTAGCTTCGTGGATTATTCTAGTTGTGCAAATTAGTCAGAGTGGTACCGGGTGTTTCGGAAAACGGCACATTCTCTTCTTTAGTAAACACCAAACATATCGTACTGTAGCGCAATAAAAATGAAAAGTGTGTAGCATGACATTGAAGAGTCTAGTCAATTGGAGTAAGCCAAGTGATTATGAAAAAGTTCTTATTGGTTTTAGCATCAAACTACTTACTACGTATAAAAAAAATAGTATTCTCAGTCTACAGACTTCAGCCCTAAATTTCGAAAGTCACTCTGTAGGGTTGAGTATTTATATCCAAAACACGAGTTGGCACCATAAAATGAGCTCCTGTCGAATACGGTACTTACTATAAAATTGCGCATGAAGCAGACCATGCTTACTCTTTTCGGAACACCTGATGGTATGTCTCTTTGGAGGGGTTCACTACTATACTACTTTTACCCTCGATTTCGCTATACTGTTTAATGGAATTGTTTTACTTGTACGGATTTTTATTAGGTTCTTCTAATTCAAGGACTTATGCTCGTGATTTCGACACATTTTAATCGTTCGTTTAAATTAAGTGACTCACTCATTAGAGAAAAAATGGTTTGGTTTGATCCAATTCAATAACATCGTTAAGAATGTTTCTTTATTACAAAACGAAGAATTCAAAAGACAATGACTTCACTGGGGAAATGACAAAAATTTCAATTACTAAATAAATTAACCGGATATCACGAAATTTTAACATGTGTAAAAGTCTTATTGGAAAACAAAACTGAAACGAAAAAATGAACAAATATTTATGAAATGAGGTTAATTCAAAGTACGGAATCAAATTTCAAACGAAACGGAATTTGAAAAAAAAAGAATTTGTTAAGATTGCAAGCGTTTGATGTGAAAATAGATTTTGGGAAACGAAAAAAAGATGGCAATGTTTGTTTGAAGGTTAAGGACTGCAGTATGGGCTGTATTTGTTTCGTTTAATTAGATAAAGCAACGAGGTAATTTTCTACACAGGTTGAGTAATCTAGGATAATTGGTGAAGGCGAGGAAGGGGACGGCTCCGTTTAAATACTTGATTCGTTTAACCCGAAACGAATACAAACTCGATCGGCGTTTTGACAATCAAAATAAACAAGACAAGATGTAAACTATCGATAGAAGTATTTAAGAAAATCGATTTCGTTTTAAAGTCACTTTGTATCATTCTTGAATTCACGTCACAAAGTCATCAGTCTAATTAAAATAAGACCAAACTTTCGTTCCGTTTTTAGTTAACTTTATTTCTAATTTTAAGGTGTATTCTGAGAAGCATTCGACACTTATTGCACTTTTTAATCGCGTAGTATTGCATGGTCGTCAGTCTAATTAAGTCATTTTTACTCATTGAGTTAAAAAAAATTCATAGCAGGCTGACGATATTTTTTTAATCCAACAGCAAATATATGTTCTTTGAGCAACTGCCTTGGAACAATACTTATTATTATTATTATTATTATTATACATCTTGACTTTAAATACAAAAGAGTGATTTCACCTTGCACTATGTTTGTAGTTTAAACTTGAACAATGATTTGCGGTAGCGTGTTACATACCCTCGAATCTAATAAACGACAATTATCCAAACAAAAGTCGAGCCAAGATGGAATCTAAGTTAACATCAAACCCAAGCAAAAGCTAACTAGCGTGCGTGTGGAATTTAGTATGAGAAATAGAGATCAAATCGTTATTTTGGAGATTAAAGGGTCGGTGTTTGTCTAACTTTGCACAGTTGTAAACAAGGTGCCGATAATCATAGCAAGTAAATTTACGTTGTAAATATCGCAGTTAAATTACCGGGCTTGCAATAAAACATTAAATATTATTTTTCTATTTTGCTTTAAGATGAACACATTGCTGTCAGAGCAAATAACGGAAACTGTTTCATTCCGGTTGATTATTTTGACACATTTGATCAAATTTGAGGCTCACCTTTTGTTCCACTTCGGGTTGCAAGATGGTGCACTGTTAACCTTTTTCTATTGTCTTCGAAGAAGGAAACAATATCGAAAACATTTTTTATTCAAAATTCTTATACATGTTTATCAAATTTAAAGATAGCCAGCGTGAAGAATTTTTTTTTAGGGTACTTGTTTTTTTTTTTTTTGTTTATAAAAAGTAGCATAACGTATACTAAATAATTTCAAATATTATGGAATGTATTATAATAAGAGCTCTTATTTATAGTGTTATACACCCACAGTGACGGCTCTCTAAAGGCCCAGGAATATAATGTAGGCTAGCGAATCCAGCCAATCAGAGCCCTCGACAGAAAGACTTTAAACTATTTGGCTGTCGTGTTTCGGGGGCAATGATTGACTGTATTCGCTAGCGTACAATCCAATTAAAACTGTGGCATTTTCCAACTTCCGTGATACAAGGAAGTGGCTATTGCAGTCAAATTAGACGCTGTTAGTAATAGCTCGACATTGTGAAGATGCCATGTGATTTGATATACGTCATCTTGCATTTCGTTCATTAACCAAAATTCAGAGTACAAAGTTGGACAAGTGGTGTAATTAGGTTTAAAGTGCGATTGTGAGTCTATAAGATTTCCTGTTATTCCAATTATTGGCATTTTTGCATCCGTCACTTAATTGCTATTAAAGAATATAAAGTGTGTTTTATTGCTATAATTGGAATTCAACACCAAATGATTTCTTTTCATTGGAAAAATAACAAACACTTTTCACAGGAAATTTGGTTATTCTCTTTTTTAAGAGGTGTCCTTATTGTGAAGGAAATAATTTGTATGCGAATTAAAAGAAACATTGTTTTGCGGTCTTCCTGAGCGCTCTACTACCGGAACTGCTTCCAGTAAATCTCATTAGCCGATAATTCACCTCAATTCTTTAAACTATTATGTATACATGCACGACCACAAGTAGTTCCTGTTTAGTAGACCAGATGAGATTTTTCAAGAGTAATTAGCGCCAATATATCACCATTGAAATTTTAATAGCTAACTGTGAGAAAATATTCAAACTATTCAATTCTTCCATTCGGCACGTACTTGTCTTCTCAATTCCATTATCTCGTACGAGTCTTAGAAGTGTTCTCAGACTTTTTCCATATTGTCCCAACAAAAAGGCGGGAAACCGACATCTGTTAAGTTGGACTTGAAAATCTTCTTAAATCTCTTGTCAGGCGTTCGATCTTTTGGCGCGTGATACTTGGGGTGTAATGAGGCCGATTCAATTACATCTCGGCTTGTGATCGGTGCGAAGATTGACGGCTCGTCGTCATGATATCGTCATCACCGCCATATTGAATTTATGTTTTATCTCTACAAGGGGGGTAATTGATGTACAATAATAGGCGTTAAACCACATCATCAGTGTATATAAAGATATTCTAAATGAACACCAATGCTGTATATTTCATCCTAGACTTATATTTATTTGAATATCAAAGGATTTTGACTTTGCATTGATTGGACTTAGACCATTCTTTGTGTGTTTAAATTATTGCATTTTGGACGAAAGATAAGAAGAAAAAACACATCGTTTCAGAACAAACCACTTAATTCATAATATTTTTTATAAGAAATTGGCATTTCCGTGTTTAGCGTTCCTTAACAATTATTATACACTTAGGAAAATATTTTGTTCTGTAAAAAATGAATTTTTCGTTATTTTCATTTTGTTTTACGTCCTATACTTTTTTGTTATTTCAGGGAAGAACTGGCAATGAGAATTGACTTAACAGAAGCTAGAGTACAGGTCAGTAAAATCTCTTGCATATTTATAGCCTTATATGATATATTTTCACTGTTTAAATAGTGCTCAATACATCAATTGTAGAGCGATATAGAGATACCATTGTTAAAATAGTGCCCAATATATCAATTGTAGAGCGATATAGAAATATCACTGTTAAAAAAGTTGCCAAATACATGAATTGTAGAGCGATATAGAAATACCACTGTTAACATAGTGCTCAATACATCAATTGTAGAGTGATATAGAAATACCACTGTTAAAATAGTGCTCAATACATCAATTGTAGAGTGATATAGAAATACCACAGTTAAAACAGTGCTCAATACATCTATTGTAGAGTGATATAGAAATACCACTGTTAAAATAGTGCTCAATACATCAATTGTAGAGCGATATAGAAATATCACTGTTAAAATAGTGCTCAATACATCAATTGTAGAGCGATATAGAAATACCACTGTTAAAATAGTGCTCAATAAATCAATTGTAGAGCGATATAGAAATACCACTGTTAAAATAGTGCTCAATACATCAATTGTATAGCGATATAGAAATACCACTGTTAAAATAGTGCTCAATACATCAATTGTAAAGCGATATAGAAATACCACTGTTAAAATAGTGCTCAATACATCAATTGAAGAGCGATATAGAAATACCACTGTTAAAATAGTGCTCAATAAATCAATTGTAAAGCGATATAGACTACTGTTAAAATGGTGCTCGATACATCAATTGTATATACATATTCAAATGGCCAATGGGCAATATATGAAAATGAATGGCGTTACGTTACCCAATCGTTTGCGTCCATTCTCGAAAGGAGTCAGATAATAACAGAAACAACCAAAAATTTCATAAAAATCGTTTTTCACGAAAATTGAGCGAATAATGTAATTGTATAAAAAAGTTCAAATTTCCCAAGCCACGAAGTTTTGTTTTGTGTATACTTTAAAGTATTTTATCTTTAGGGCAAAAATAACTAGGTTTATTTTCTATTTTTATTCTGATCGATGATTTAATGGAAAAAATCCGGGGTAAAATAGGAGAAAATCTCCTGACCAATGTATGGAAATTTTCGCTTAAATATGGTTGCTTTTAATTTCGTTATTCCTGGTTAAGATAATTAACTTTTTTGCCGTTGAAGGCGGTGTCCATTGTCCGGTGTTTTTTGTTTTTTTTTTTAGATAATTTGTATCTGATTAGGGTTTTATTGCTATTCATGATCTGACAAGTTTTTCTTTAAATCGAGTTCACTATCAACAATCTAGGGTATCACAGAATCACACGATGTTGTGCCTTGGAGGATAATCGAACACGCGACACACAATCGTCTTAAGATGATCATTTAACCCTTGGCCCTCGAGCAATATGCCTCCTACGTTTAGATAAATTGAATCGCACATTACCTGTGTGTATTTTGATAAGCGTTTGGATTACACTGATCATCACTACGTTTGTACCTAGTAACATGGGAGAGGTGGGCCAAACACTAATTGAACAGAATAGCTGCTTTAATCCTTACCAATTATTGCCTCACGTTCTGGACATTCTTGTTAAAATAGTCTAGAATACGCCAGTCTTCTCCGTGTGTCATTCAGATGGTGATTGTAAGGGACCATTGGACTATATTCATGGACAGGAAATTTTCGTTTCCACAATTTGTGAAATGGCATTAACAATCTCGCTTACCAAACTGCTCAAAGGTACATCAATGTATTGAAAGCAGTCATGGCTTTTAGGATTGTATCAGAAGTCATCGGAACCATGACAGTAAAATATGTTTCAAATTGCTAAAATGCCTCACCATTGCCCCCACTGCATTGCTCTGTAAGATTGGTCGGATGTTGGATCCTTAATGGTCAATACAGGTTTATTAAACAGTATTTTGATTATAAAGCAAGTGCGTTGATACTGTATGCCTTCATGACGCCTTGTATAATCGCGACTATTTAAAGTAAGATGAAAGAAATGCAAACTTGAGGTTAGTTAGTGTAAAAAGACAGCCACGTGTATCAGTGTTGACTCTAGAGTTAGTGAGGTTACACCTTTAACATAGGTATAAATACATAATAGACATATGTACACCTGTTTCACTAGTGCATTGTCCGAGACAAGGATTCGTATAGGGTCTTATCAAGTTAAGTGCATCTAGCCACGTGTAATCATTGAATTGGGCCTGTTAAAATTACAGTAATGACATTCCTATTTTTCTGGAACATGGTTTGAGACAAGGATTCAATTAGGTCTCAAAAGTATACTTAATCTAGCCATACGTGGTGTATTGACAGAAACAAAGAATCGAATAGGGTCTGTTCCATTAGTGACAGTCATATTTTTTACTGGAATGGATCATTGTTCGAGAAAATTAATCGAATGGGGTCTCATCAAGATAGGGATCTAGCCATCTAGTTTATTGACAAACACAAAGAATCGAATTAGGCCCGTGTAAATGTCATATGTGACATTCATATTGTTACTGCAACATAGTGTTCGAAACAAAAATTCGAATAGGGTCTCATCACGATTAGTATAAAAAATCTAGTTACCAACGTTCTTGTGTTTTGAATTTACTGGAACATTGTTCGGACAGGGCCGACAGGGCGTATATTTACTTCCCGAACAGTGTCCTTTCTACATTGCTCGAAACAAAGACATCAAAACAACATCTGCGGGACATCCATACATAAGCAAAGAAAAATCCAGGGTTCACTCATTCTAACCATTTATGCATGTACTAGTACAAGTTGTGGACTGGTAACAAGAGATTTCGGACTAAGATGTGTAAAATTCAGTAAAAACGTTACATTTTTCCCACCCAATAAGACAATGCAGATAATTTCGGCTGCAAATTTTTCGAAGAATTGTCAATTAGATGTTATTTTTTCTGTTCTTTACGTTTGGCAATTGAAGAGAGGTTTTGATATTTTGAACGATGGTGTTATTTCCCAAAATAATTATCTAACATCCAGTCTAAACATTTGAACATGCACGTTGACTATTAGATGGTCTATACCCAAATGTTTTGAAAATTGGGCAATGAAGTAAATTTTGACAATAGAATAGCGTCATTACAAATTATTATACTTTGGTCACGTCATCTTGACGAAAAAAAATAAATTCTGTGTGGACATGAAGATTTCGACAATTTCGTCTGCGACAATTTGGATGATGCTAGACTGCACAGTTGTCCACCAAAGACCATTTTGGTTTGATTCCCTTTACGGACCCATAGGTAACAGCAATTCTCGGGAAGGAAAATTTCAGATGCATACATTTAAGTCTATTTGGTTCTGACTCGATCTGATTTCCTTATCAAGGAAATGCATTTTCAGATTAAAAGGGCCAGATCAGGCCAGTTTCTGGGTTTGTTAGTAGGACTGTTTTGAGGGTTTATTACTTGGCAGAACTGTATTCTATGGGAAACCTAACATTAAAAACTATGAAAGAGTCATTGATCGAAAGAAACATTACAACTACACCTACGTTAGAAAGATTTCTTATGGAAGTATTCATACATCCTTCACGACTTATTTTTTCTTATAACCCATACAATTTTTCTGCCTCAAATATAGAAAATTCTCACAAGATTTGAAAATTCTTTTAAAATGTCATCCACATAATTGAGAAATAAGCAAATAGTATAAAATCCTTTGACAAACTGACCTGTCCAAATTTTACATTTGACCCCAGTGTCAAAAAATTGTTTAATTTAGGATTATCAATGTCGACTTTCACACGATAATAGAAAGTGATTAACTGATGGGAATTTATTCGTATAAATGATTAAATCATTCTGCATTTAATAATGATTTAGTGATTATTGTGAAGACATTCTGGAGCAACTTCCCTGCGTGAACAAGGTCAGAAAAACGAATCGCACAACGTTTGTTTTTTCTGCAGATCTCGTTGTCTATTACGAATACTTTTATGGGTTACAGAATCATATTTAAGCTTGTCTAATTCTTGTGGATAGATGAATGTTGGACTGGTTGGCTTAATAGCCAACGGAGCATTGCCTGTTTGTTAAAGATTTACAGAAATCCTATATTTTTCAAAATACGTCGGTGTAGAGGGTGTGATGTCAGTTTATAGAGTGTGCGATTTGGAAAGGCTTCACTGTGGTTTTTTTTCTTCTTTTATTTTAGTGGGTTCAGTTATAAGTATACGCAGACAGACATTAAAGTTCTATGCAAAGTTTCCACGAACTTCTCATGTCGTCGTCTCACGAGTGATCGTTGTTCCATAAAGCTGTGTCATAATGTCATATATTCAAAGTTGTTTCCCTTGTAACACCGCCTTGATTAGCACAATCACTGAAGGTGCAAAAGAGGAGGACGTAAAACTCAATCATATCCTTTTATCTTAACAAAAATAACAAAGAGATTGAAGTTGTACACAGCGTTATGGAAACAAACGCTTCTTTAATTTCCATGCAACGTATCCTGCCGTCCTTGTTCCAACAAAATAATACCGCCTTCGGTAGTCTAATTACTGAAAGTGCAGAAGAGTTGGGCGTAAAACTCATATCATTTTATCTTAACGAAAATAACAAAGAAATTGTAGCGAAAAACAAAAGAAAATGTCACAGATGAGAAAAGTTAGTAAATCAGATTGTTAATTAAATAACTTGAGTTCAGGTTATTTGTTTGGTTATTTGTCTAGGCACCTGTTGAGATTAGTTAAACTATCTTGAAGGGTAATTCTCACAATAATCCCTGATTATCTCACGAAATCTCGGCTAGACGTCAAACTGTGAAACTGGACATTGGTCAGTTAGTGGACAACAAGGTTAACACAATGGTCAAACATCAACAAATCAACTCAATCAAGTCATTGACTTAACTCTCATAATATTGACACTGCGGCGGTCCAATCGTACATTTTTTGTCATTAGTCCCATCGACAGTTTCGGCCTTAACAAGGATAAGTTTTACCGACCGAATTGTGTGAAGTGTCCGTAAGACTCAATGGTTTATTATTATGTATTCTTTAAACCT